TAAGTTTTGGCGCCAGGCTTTTTGACAATCTAATAGATATCTCTACGTGTAGGTAGAAGAAATGCCGTGCGTTCTGATCGCAAGATATTCTCCTGTTCTAAATAGGCCGCAACCACATTCTTCTATAAAGCCTTCTCGAGAAAACAAGAATTTATTGTTATAACATAGTGCAATGTGTTGACATTTCATGCATGAAAGCGGGCCACAGGAAACTTATACGGGCAAAGGGCGTGTAAATTGTTTGCGAGTACTCTGGTGGCGTCATTGGTTCCTACTTAACCGGCTACGCGGCGGCCTGCGCGGCAAACTGGCTACAACGAAGGCGGTTGACTCTACATGCACAAAGATGTCAGGTTCGGTATTACATTACCGGCAACTGTCCATAACGTCCAGAAAACTTTTGCATAAAAAACTACTTTGTAGTCGTTTTCTGCGGCGCTTTTTGCATAGCGAAATTAGAGAGAATCCTCTTCTCATAGCGAAAAAAACCCTTTGAAAGAATGAAAGCAAGAAAAACTTGCAAACACTTTTCGAGATCTGTCTTTTGCCTCCAACTCACAAATATTAAAGAAAATCTCATGTTTGATGGGTACAAATCTCAACTTTAAACTATTTGAGCTATGCCATATTAACATGCTGATGTTAAAATTAATAGCCAATATTCCTAATTGATGAAAAATAAGTACCAATGTAAATTGGAAAGAGATATGTGAATGGTATTTATTTTCAAAAAAAACCTCTTTTTCTCTCTTCATGTTATCAAAGAGAACTTCCTTTGATTAGTACTAGGATAGACACAGCTTGCATTGATTTTCCAGTATCTTCTAATATGGCTAAGCGAAATGTAAATGTATGTCTTTATTGTTACCATTTATCACTCTAAACTCCATTCTCTTACAAGGTAAATGAGGTTCAAAGTTTGAATGTAATACTCCCAGGCATTGAAACTTTAAAGTAATCTAGGATTGAAAAGCTCATAACTGCTGGAACTTCCAAACGCCGAAAAAACTATTTTTTGCGGCTTAGTACGACTCATGCGAAGATCGACCAAATTCTCACCAACCGAAGGTAGTGCTTACTGGACGTCTCAGTGGTACCATCCTTCAGTAGTGGCTCAAATCACCGTCCCCTTCGAGCAAAAGTGCGATAAAGAAAGCTGGAAATAGAGATCACGGTGTTGGAGGAAGGAGAGATGTCGTATATGACGGCAGATTGGAGGAGCTCCTGACCACTTGGGACTGGCCCATCGAGGAGTACCCGACGAAAGACTACGACCTACCTCTCAGTGGACTGAGATGTGGTGAAAGTAGCTCAGTACCTCGAACAAGAAATTAGGAACTCATTTTGAAAGTCACAAGGATCTGTTAGGGAGGAGGAGAGCAGTGACGCTGGATCCGACTGCATCACATCTCGAGCATCTGGTAGCCAATACCAGTTGCAGAACAGCTTTGCGTTCTATCAATCAGTTATTACAGTATGCGTATAACAGACAGCATCAAAGCATTGTTTCATCCTCGATTTTATAGTTTAAGGCAAATGCAAAGAGCATCTTTTTCTATTAGTAAAGACAACACCAAGCCAAACTGTTCCAAAAGTTCAGTGGTGAAGTGGACATAGTTGTGTAACTCTTTGCGACTACCAAGGTGACAAACCAAACCAATGCTTTTAGCACGAGAAGGTCAAATGCTTATGGAGCATAATGTAGAAGTCTTAACTACTTAGACTCTTAGGAATCAGAATTGTACTTTTGTTTAATTTTCTATGCTCATACCCCTTTGAACTGGTATTGTTCTAACAATGTTTGTAATCTCATCCACCTATTAGCAAAGCATGAAAAT